AAGTGGGTCCTTATCTCTTTTTCACCCCAAAAGTGGCGCCCAAGCCACTAGGATAAAACCAAAAGTTTGTCTCATCTCCATCAAAGCTTCTAGAAGTTGCACATAAATGAAAACTATAGGTAAATCAATCATAGGACACCAATCAAGCACATTGTACATTAATGTGCAACATTCAAATAATTAAATCAAGGTCCAATGTGGTAGGATGGCCTTACCTTCTTGATTGGTGCCTAACGAGTTCGAATAAATCCAATACTGCGTAATTAATCGGCGTCGGATTGAGAATGTCACACTACCACTTTAGGATTTTTTGGGTATAACCCTTGATTTTTTGAAGGGGGATAGAGAAATCGAGATTGTAATTTTATTTTATTTCCTTAACATTAGGGTTTTTCATATACTACTTTTAAAAAGGTGATAGTTTTTTAAATAGATTTATCATTAGATTTCTACTTGAACAGTAAATTTTCCTGATTTATTTGTTAATTTGTTTCCTAGATCTATTTGGAGTGACTTTTGTTTTTATACTTTTTGCTTCACTTTCTTCAATATAAAACAATTGAAACTTTATTATGAAAATATTGACATGTACATTCACCTACATATTTTTCATAATTTTATAAAATTTGCATAAATTTCAAAATTTAGCGAGATAGCAAGAAGGTTGTTCTTTCTTTTTATAAGGCTAGACGAAAAGGCCCTGATCTCTTGGTTGTTTTATAGTATTCATTCATAAATTTTTACGGTTTGATTTTTAAAAAAATTTGCCTCTTTTGAGTTTCTATGCGAAAATTGAGAGTTTTTTTTTATTCATTTGTGCTTTTGCGTGGGAAGCGGCATGTCATGTGATTCTAGGATGGTAAAGTTCATTTATATTCGTTCTCATTGTATCGGTTTGGTATTGTAGCAAGTAACTCGTTTTTTATTTTTTTATGACAAAAGGGCACGACTATAATTAGTTGGCTACCTAGAGGGAAACTAGCACAACATTATACCGCCATGACTCCCCATTTTAAATCGAAGTTCTAGGGAGTAAGGATTGAACCCATAACCATTGGTTCCAGAATTGAAAGCATGAGAACATCCTTATCACTAGGTCAATTCTATGGTGGGTCAAATAACTCGGTTTGAAGACGAAGGCTTGTGAATCTAGAGTGACTAAGGTTCATTTAGCCTCGTTCTCACTACATTAGTTTCTGGAGATGAAAACTAGACGCCGCTGGAGGCATCGACGACAACATCTCGTCGACAAAGATCAGGATTTGTAAGCTCTTTGATGACATTGTCAGAGCATCTCGCCGAATCATGTCATGAACGCCGGATGCAATGACTACGGGGATTTTCGGAGAGAAAAACTGATTGCTGCTCCCTAGCCAACCATTTGATGGATCTCTTTAAAGTGGTTCGTCATAGCAGGCAAATTTTCGAAGTCTGCAGATCATAGCGACGATCATTGTTGGAACAAACGTCTAAGCATGTCCAATATGACCAAGAAATCCAAGAAGAATGGGCCCTGTGAACAAGAAAACTTGAAAGTCGTTAGGCCCTATGGGAAAGTTTTCCTATTTTTTGTTGTTGCTTTATATTAGCATTTAAAGATTATTTTTCTAGATATCTCAACCGTTATCATGGATACTTTTTGTTTTTTTATATTATTCGAAATATTATAAATTTCAGTAAACTTAGAATAAGCTCTTTTTATAAGTTTCTTTGAACTTAAACACCTCCTTAGCCCTCTTAAAATCCTTGTAGAAGAACTTTATTTCAAATCTATGAGGACTCGGTGATCATTTTTTATTGACAAAAGCAAAATTTTAAATTCAGCTCAATCAATATATATCCAAACGTATCTACACAATGTATCTCAATGGTAAGTTAATTTCTTTTCTTGTACATTGTTTTTAAATTAATTATTGACTAGATAAAACGTTAATATTTTTTTATTTTCTTTCTGACATTGATATTTGAACTTTTACTATCATGATACACTTCTTAGGGTTCGTTTGTTTCGCGAAAAATTTTGAACTTTTAATAATTTCTGGTGTTTGGATCGCTTAGGAAAATGAGTAAATGTAAAATCTTTTTACAAGCAATGGGAGAACCTATCTTTAAATTCAAGGAAAAAGAATGCTTTTAAAAATTAGAAATCATTTTCTAAACTATGGCAAGACTCTGGCGCTTGGATTATCCTGGTTATTCCTTTAAAATACTTTTGATTATTCTATGAAAAATGAAATTGGAATTTTCTGTCAACTATTGATGCTTGGTCTAAGACAGGGTGGCCATCTTTACAGATGAACAGAATAGAAGTTGCGAACTAGGCAACGAACAAAGCTTTTGTGACAAAATCTCGGCCAATGACGACTCTGGTTCGAACCATTTAACTTCTGGTGCATGTTAAAAAAATTTTAATTGGTCTCTCAAATATGAAATAGGCAAAGAACAGAAATAATAAATGAACAGGGAACTTAGCTTCGATTTGGAGTCTTAAGTCGAACCACATGAGATGCATATTGCCCTCAGGCAGCGACTTGTTCCGAATTCCCAACCAAGTAACATCAAGCAAAATGGCTCGCATACTCAATTTTTAGCTTAACCAAATCACCAGAACACTTTACTCCAAGGCCAGGAACAGGCACAGGAACATCGTCTCTGCTCACTTGTCTACTACACTTTGCCAATGTTCATCTACGGTTTTCGCGGTCTCTATGGAATCGGGGAGTTCCCTATGAATTGTTCCCCTCCAGCTCAGCCCGTCCACCAAAACACTCGGCATGCAAATCCACAGTTAATGATAGACTGAAATCTTATTCAATCTCCTTATTCAGCGTATTCTACCTAAGTGCAACAGACTTAAAGTCCTTGAATAAAGCCGAGGAAGACACCAACAGAAGATCATTATCACGTTTCAAGTGAAGCAATTCCTCTGAGGTAGATCATTAAACAGTCGCCGTGCACTACCCGTTTGGCCGCATTGGATCAATAGCTAAGAAAAACTTCCTTACACCTCTAAACAGGGAGAACAGAGACATCCCCTGAAAGAAGCATATAGAGATTCCTATTACTTTTGGTACGTAGACATCCCCTGACTCAATCGAATGAGCTTTAATAACTTTCACCTGAAGATTTGAAGAGGTCGAGGCCATCACGAGATACCAATTCGGCACGACATGGAACCGCTCATTGCTGACATAGCTTCGCGCTCTGGTAAAGATTGAGAAGTCGTCGACGGTGAAGATCATCTAGCTCTCACGTCGCACGACACCAGGCACATGCGAGGCTAAGGCGAATAGAACATCAGCAGCTGCTGGAACGGGAGCACTGGAGACGTCATCTTCTCGATGTTGCAGGAGAAAAGAGACAGTAGCGAGGTGAAGCCTTGGAGGCCGTAGACGACGAAGATTCCTAGTCATTAAACATGTCAGAATGAGTGATTTTGACTTCGTCGATGAAAATCAGTTCCTGCTGTTGAGCTTGAGTTAAGACTGCGGCGATGAAGAGAAAAGAGCTTCGTCCATGGTGGCTGTGGTTGCGGCGAAGAACTTCAGTCGTGTAGCCGAATGAAGATGGCGAAGCAACTGAGACAGAGTGACGCAGAGAGAGTTTGGCGGGCCGAGCCCAACTGGAGCTGAAGTGATCGGGCTTTATGGTTGGGCTGCATTAGTGACCCGATGGGCTGGGTGTTTTATTTATTATTATCATTTATTTTTTACAAAAATGAATGTTCGATTTTCCGGCAAAAATTCAGGTGTCAATGCACTTTTCCTTTTCAGCACTTTTAAATTGCTGCATTTTTATCATTCTATTACCCTTTAAATTCCTAGGAATCTTACTTTAAATACCTTTACTTTCCTCGTCAAAAAGTAACAACTCGCCCAAGTTCACAAAAATCCATCAATTTCTATCCCTATATGAGATTTTTCACCTTTTTTTCCGGTGAAACACATATAAAATCGGCTGGGGTCTATACAGGCCGAGATCAAAAGAGGAACCGCATGGCTAGACTCGCCGATTTGCACTTTGAGCTCAGGAGGGTCTAGCGGGCGTGGTACTCAAGAATTGCAATTGTCTTTATGGTTAGCGTGGGAGGGATGAGATTTGAGTAACGATGGTCGCTGTACCGTTGACAGTAGAAGTGGGTAATTACTGATGTTGCTTTCTTTTAACTCGGGAATGCAATGAGTTATGTACTTTTTTTTTTTTTACTGTTCGTTTGTCAAGTATTGAAATGACCTCGAATTAGGAACAGCAATGGGAAATGCTCATCCAGTAAAATATCTCGGTTACTTCAAGTTGCTTAGACCCATGCTTATGTCCAACACCTTACGTTTAATCCTAGCATTAAGCTAGAAGATGCGGCACATATTGAATATTAAAAGGTCACCCCAAAAATGAAAGGTTTTTAGTAAGTCAGAAAAATAACTTGCTACTAATATTGTCAGCTAACATTAATTAATGATAGCCTGCTGATATGATTCTATTGAGATTGTTTTCAATTTGTGGTAGTGCTAGAAAACTACCAAGCATGTTGTACTACAAAATAGGTTCAAGCTACTTCAATTCTCCTTGTAGCCAAAACTAATTCGCCATGAGGCACGATTCTCTGCTCTCCTGACAACGTTGGTAGCTTTGTTATTGACTGATCAGATGTATTGCAACAAGAGTTCGTGCTAGTTTTGTAATGCGGTAACGAAAGAAGTGAAAGAATTTGATAGACGGTGAAAACCTTGTTGAAAAACAATTCTGTGGATACGAAAAAGACGAAAAAGAAGTGTACACTGCTTTCTAAGCGGTGAAAACATTGTTGGAAGCACTTCATAAGTTTTCATAATAATGACAAAAACATGCAAAGCAATCTAAGATAAACTGCATGACGAAAATGTCAGCAAATATCGTGATTGATTGACCGGACTTGTTCGACCTAACATGCGGGGAGTGTAAACTGCAAGGAAGGATGACGCACTGATTTATGACAAACACTCGTTACCAAGAAGCCAGTACACATGAATAATTACACACGGATCACAATTTATGGTGTCTAACTTGAAAGCCACTTACAGAGCAATGGCTAGTGAAACTAAGACAGGTTGAATATTGGGGAAGCTGAAAATTCTTGAAATTGAACCTGAAAGAATGGCCGCCTCATCATAGTGACAGGCGAGACTTGAATTTCAAATGTTTCCATTGCTTGTACATGCTGACTGTCTCTTCAAACCAATCATCTCTTAAATTTGGGCAGTCGGCAATTGTTAGTGAGCACTCGTCTGATAATTTCCAATTGAGTACATTAGGGAAACTTCTCAATGATATGCAACCTATAAATTCCAAATATTTGAGAGCCTCTAGTTCATCCAGGCCCTTAACTGCTAGAAGCCCTTCGCATCCTCGAATTACCAAGGACTCCAGCTTTTTCAAATCCGATAGGTCATCTAGACTTTCAATCTTAGGACACTTGTCTATTTCCAAATGTTTCAACGACTCCACAGAACCTAGACCTTGGATCGTAGTTAAATTTGGGCAATCGATCAGCCTCAACAGCTTCAACCTCTTCAAACTCAAAAGACCCACAAATCCCTCAAGGAGTTCTAACCCTTCCACTTCAAATTCAATCAACCGTTCAAGCCCATCGAGTTGAACTTCCTTCCAAAGACAGTGACTAATGTGCAAATGTGTCAATTTTCTCAAGTTGCAATGAAACGACGAACTGGTTATCGATTCATGATATTGGGCAAACAATGTTGATAGAGAAGGTGGAAGGAACGCGAGGGATTGTCGGCATGGACCATCTTGGGAGTAAAGACGACGCCAATTCACATCATGACCACCATATCTGAAATCCACCAATTCAATTAGGTTTGAGAGATCCGGGACCCACCGCAGCGAACTTGATCCCAGGCTTAGGCTTATCAAACTTGTGGGAAGCATAGGCAATAGTTCGAGTTTGTTGCAACCACATAATCCCAATTTCTCTAGGCGAGGAAGTAGTTTGATTGTCACCGGAACATTTCTAACAGGGGATAATTCCAAATGCAAAACCCTCAAAAGCGATAATTTCCAAATGCCATCAGGAATTTCCCACTCCAAATGCGGGCAATTCTCGGCATGTAGCTCTTCCAACTCTTTTAGCTCAACAATGCTCTGTGGTAGCTCCCTTATCAAAGAATACGAAATGTTGATGACTTTTAATCTACTTAGGTCTCCAATAGATTTAGGTAACTGCAGACTTTGTGTTTTCGATACATCTAACTCAATTAGTGATTCCAAGTTCCCAAGTGAGACGGGGAGTTCCCTTATTTTAGTACACGATAGAATGAGAGACTTAAGTTCCCGTAGATTCCCGATAGAACTAGGGAGTTCATCGATTCCGGTAGATCGCAGATTAAGTACTAACAAACGCTTTTGGTTACCAATGGAGTCGGGTAATATTGTGATAGCCGTATATGAGAGATCCAACTCTACCAGTGATGCCACTCTCGCAAATGATTCAGGCAGCTTCCTCAAGTTTTTGCAATGGCCTAAATACAAGTACTCGAGCTTCTCTAACCCTCCGATTCCTTTGGGCAGCTTTCTAAGTCTTTCACAACCTTTCGCATTGAAGTAAATAAGGCACTTAAGCTTCTCGAGGGAACCATCAACCTCAATAAGTCGTCGGCAATCTTCAAGGTTCAATCTCTCTAAACTCAAATAATCAGAGAAGTTTGGAGTCTTGATCATGTTGTCGCAATATGAGAGATCCATAACTTTAAGTTTCTTGGCAACCTATTGCAATAGCTAAAAGAGAGTAAAGGGAAAATTCTGTGCAAATTTAGAGGCAATAAATAGTTGTGCTGGAACCTAGATGTAATTGGGTTGACTAAATTTTCTCATTTAACCCACATAGATCCGTTCATCTAGTACTAACACCTATCCATCCTGATCCACATTATCCACGCATATATCAATTCAACACAATCTAATTTAGGGGCCTTCATTGGGAGACCAGCTTAGTCAGCTTAGTTTTACTTGTGGAATGGCTTTGGTGAATCCATTTATTAGCCATTTTATTTACAACGGGTTATTGCCTACATAGTTATGGTATAATAATTTTAGTAAAAACATAAAAACTGCACGAGACAATTCAATGGAGAGAAAGATAAACGAATATAGCGACCAAGTACCTTGATTTGACTCCAGCCAGCCCAGTCCTCCGTGATGGAACTATAAGACAAATTGAGAACTACAAGATTGCTTGGATGGAAATTGATGGCGGAGAGCTCTTGAGGACACCCATGCCAGGTCATGTATCTTAACTCTGAAAGTTGATTCTCAAAGTGTCCATCTAATTGTCCCCAAATTAATTTGAGGAACCTTATGTTTGGAAGCCTTGCAAACTCTTCACTTGTATAGCTTCCTAGTGCATTTCCATTTAAGCAGACTGCTTCAATGGCTTCCTTTCTCTGCCATTCAATGGTAAAGTAACACAAGAGTAAATGAAAAATGTCTTTATTCTCTCTCCTATTATAAAATGGCTCCTAATTAATAAATGAACTATTGAGAAAAGCATAGATCGAACATATGGTTTCACCTCTTCTGTTCTTATGATATTAAAGGCGGTCAAAGGATCCCATAACCTGCTTTGTTTTCTTGGATCCATCAGCCTCGTATATCCACAAACGATTTTCCTCCCGAGATATCTTAGTTGATCGTGCATCCAAAATTTGTTGTCATCAGTTATCTTTATCAAGGACATGCAGACAAGGACTTGAATCGAATAATCCGGGAAAAACCTACAATCTTTCCACATATAGAATGCATTCGTCTGGTCTTCGTCCACAAAGAGACATGCGATGTCGAGAAAGATTTGTTTTTGCTCATGACTTAGGGCATTGTAGCTGATCTTCAACTTGTCTTGGACCTTCTCATGAGGTATTTCCCTCAGATTGTCCAGCACATCTATCCATAAGGCTTTGTTTTGGCAATGAAGTAATGAGCCTATGACTTCAAGAGCCAACGGAAGTCCTCCGGTCATAGAAACTACTTGTCTCGAAAGACTGTCATAATCATTTGTAGGAAAATTTCTTCCGAAAGCATGTCTACTGAAAAGCTCGAGTGACTGAACGGAATCTAATGGCTTCACTTCGTACTCGAATATTTGGTCGGCTTTTAAGACACTTTTGTTCCTAGCTGTAATAATAATTTTGCTCCCTGAGTTGAGCGAGACATGCTTGATGGCTAGTTTTTCGAGTTGTTCCTCATCATCCACGTCGTCCAGAACGATGAAAACTTTCTTGTTAGAAAGTCGCTGCGCAATAACCTTGATCCCATCGTCGACATCGTTGATTATGTCATGAAAGCCTGAACCAAACATGTTAGATAATAATTGTTTCTGTAAAGTTATGAGGCCAAAGCTGAGCGATGATTCCCGGACATTTCCTAGGAAACAACAATGGCTGAAGAGGTGATTTATTTTGTTGAACACAACCTTAGCGAGAGTCGTTTTACCAATTCCCCCCATTCCATGGATTAGAACAATGCGCATGCCCCCGGAGTCCACGTCCAATAACTTCATAATGGCTTCCACTCGATCGTGCATTCCGACTATATGCTCGATGACATATTTGTCTTTTGTCTTCAACTTCATCACAATCTCTTGTATTACTGATTTAATGAATTTCCAATGCCTGCCACATTATTGAATCATTTAAGTCGAAAATTGTAAAAGATAACTCAGGACACTTGGCAAGTGGTTGCATCAACATGGCTAGTAACGCTTACTAAATCGACTACACCCAAAAGGAAGAGACGTTTTAGGTGCTTTTGGAACGCAGCGTCACCACGATTTAAACAAATAATCATGTAGCGAATGTTATAAGCTTTTTAATATTTATTTGCTTTCGAAATGGCAACACTTCCAAAAGGTGATGGACATGGCTGGATGGGAAGCTAGCACATATGTAAAAATTTCTCGAGAAGGAGAGAGAAGGCAATTTTAAAGAGGTAATCCACAATTTACAAACGCAAAGATATAGAAAATTACATCTATCAGTGAAAAGAATACCAGGTTCTTGCTTTATTTGGTTTGGATGAATGACATGGTTACCAAAAATAGTTTTCCAAAACACACATGCTATTTATTCAATTACAGACCATCTAAACGAGAACTTATGGAAGCTTGGATATACATTGAAATTCCAAAACAAAAGTTACGGAGCACTTTAGGACACCTACATACCCTTGCTTTTTCAGCTCCCATCCTTTGATTTGAGCTACACTTTTGAGGGCATCCTCCCACTTTAGCCTCGTCTGGCAGCCGAACTTCTTCTCATGCTCCTTCAAAGCGCAGACGTACCGTGGAGACATAAGTCTAACATCGCGAGGTTTCACATCGTAGAAAATCGGCATAATCACCTTCTCTGATGGTTTGGATTTTGTGCACTCCACCATGTGTGCGAGCTCGTGAAGGCACCAGGGACTCAAAGCATAACCTTTAGAGAAGATGGGTACGTAGATCTTCGACTTTTCGATGGCCGTCGGTAGCTCACCAGCTATTTCTTTACCAACGTGAAGCTCTTCCTCGTCGAAGAAAACATGGATGTTTGCTTCTAGCATTTCATGGTAAAGGCAATCCGTGAATCCTTGGCGAGTGTCCGGCCCTCTGAAACTCAAGAAGACCTCGTAGTCATTTGCTGATGACTCACCGCCACTCGTTCGGGACTCCAAGCTCTTTCCCCTGTCCATTCTCACATGTATTTTCGCCTGAGGGTTTCCTCTCTCAAAGCACCTGATCAATGAAAGGTTCGTTCCCTTTGTGTTTGCATTAAAAATAGACTGAATAGCCAATACTGACTTTCGTTTACATTACGCTGGAGACCTCTATTCCTCTGAAGTTTCGTTTGCCATGTCTTTAAGCGTCCAAAAGTGAAATAAAAAAAAATATATATTTCGAGTCTTCGTCAACTCTAAAAAAGCGGAATCTGATATTTTAGAAAATATTGAGAGTTATCTGATATTTTAGAAAATATTGAGAGTTATCTGATATGAGAAAGAAAATATTGAGGACTATCTGATATTTTAGAAAATATCCGAGTCTACGTCAACTCTATTCCTAGAACTTTCCCTAGTTGAATGGTCTTTGAATAGTACCCTTCCCTAGTCGAGTTTACATCAACTCGAAAATGGCGTAATAAGAATGCGTCTCTTTTTCTGGTAGACTTGATTTTTGACGAACTCACACTATGCAAGTCGTTCTCGATGGCTATAAAATATTGAGGAAATACAGTATTAGATTTATGGTAGACTTGGTGTTTCCAAGATTTCATTGGTCCCCGGCTATGCTTTGATTTTTTGATGGGGCAAAGTGAAATCGAGATTGCAGTTTCATTTTACTTCCTTAACTCTAGGGTTGTTCAGATACTGTTTTCACTTGAACAGTAATTGATTTATAATTAGATTTCTTTCACTTGAACAGTAATTTTTCCCATTTTATTAGGTAATTCTTTTCCTAGATCCGTTTGGAGTGACTTTATCTTATACTTATTTGTTCATTTTTTATATTTTGCGATACTCGCACTTTGACTTTATTTAATCTTAAGAAATTACAGTATTAATCCTAAACTTTTCAATCATACCAACATTTCAATCTTCCTTATCTACAATTAAGGAACCGTCATAGCAACCTACTTCTGCATGCCACCGTGGAGGTGGGATGTTGCGTGTGGGAGAGAGTATTTTAGCGAAATTTTTTATTCTTAGAATCCTAATTCCTTATCACGTGCCGTGGTGGCACCAGTTATAACAAGATATGTAACATAGAAAGTATTTTGATTTAATCTTATATCATGTTGGGCAGCGCATGATTGCTTTGTGTTGGGATCACATGAAATAGTCCTTTTTGCTACATACGTCAATGTTTATGCGGAACAAAGAATAATTGTTACATGGATGATTTGGCGAGATAATGTTTTCCCAGATAAGGAAACAGTGTCTCTACTTTTGGTCTGAATATTTCAATGAATCAGCTTTTCTTGGACATTTTCAGCTAAGAGTAGGTAAACGACCTATTTAGACGGTTTCCGAGCGACTTCCCTTGTCCACAATTTTAAGATGGCAACCGAGTGAGTGATTTGAAATGTCCAACCTTCCTTTTTGTTCATAGCTTGTCCAATCTTCTATCTGACACACATTTGAATTGATAGGGGGCCCTTTCAACCCAATTCCCAATTTTAGCACCCTGATTATAAGTGCGCGAGTTAAAAAAAAGGGAAGGAGAAAAGAACATATTTTTAGGGGGGCCTTTCGGAATTATAATTGTGAAGGAGTATTTTGAAGTGGGTGTGCCATGTCTTCGGAGATATAGATAGAAAAGACATTTGTGTGCTAAGTTTTATAAGGACTGTATAGAGATTGCTATGCGAGGTGTTTCGGACTGATTTGTCTGACCAAATGCACAATCCAACTATGTTTGATGAACTTAACCGACTTTCAAGCACGTTCCTTCCGAATTTCCCAACTCACTTTCCGACCGATTTTGTGTCCAAAATAGAATTCACGCATCAAATCCTAGCTAGAGCACACCCATTTGTCTTTATTGTCAGCGAGGGAGGTATGAAACGAAGTTTCTTTGTTGTTGAAAATGATTGCGCGGGATGACAAGTCTTGAGGGAAACTTCTTGTTGCTTCTAGGTTGCTTAGACCCACGCTTATGTCAAACCTTACGTATGATCCTATCAATCTAGGAGATGGCACATATTGAATATCAAAAGATCACCCGAAAAAATTAAAGGTTTTTAGTAAGTGGAAAAATTATAAAAATAGTCTTAAATCTATTACAATTGTGCCAATTTAGTTATAAACATTTTTTTATGCCAATTGAGTCCTAAATCTTTTGCATTTGTGCTTAATTCAATTTTGTATAAACATTTATCTTGACTTTCAGACAATTTTTAATATTTTTTAATATTTTTTTCTTTTTTTTCCTTTCTTTTGTTTTTCTAATTCTTCCCTCTTCCTCTAGCCAGTTGCTGGACCTCGGCAACCGGCTAGAGGCAAGCCCCTCGCTGGCCATCGACGAGGCTCGACTGCCCCTGGCAAGGTAGAGCCTTGCCGGGGGAGGTCGACCTCCTGAGCCTTTGCCCAGCGACGACAAGGGCTCACCTCGCCCAGCGACGACGAGGCTCGGCCTCACCATGGCTAGGTGAGGCTGACCTTGCCGTGTGGCGTCACAGATCTGGTGGGGCCTAGCCTAGCCCAACCATGGCAAGGCCAATCTTGTTGTCATTAGGCGAGGCTCAACCTTGCCCTCGCTAGTGGCCGGCAGTGGCGAGTCTCGCCAGTGACTGGCGAGGCCTCACCTCTGGCTAGTTGCCGAGGGCTGGAGGAAGAAGGAAGAAGGAGGAAAAAAATGAGAAAGAAAAAAAAGGAAAAAAATATTAAAAATTCGAAAAAATATTAAAATATTACTAAATTTTATCCACTTCAGCGCAAGTTGTGCCACATCAGCGCGGGCCGGCCAAAATTAGCCGGATGGATTGAAATGACATAAATGCAAAAGGTTTAGGACTCAATTGCTACTCACACCGGTTCCGGGCCTAGTTCCAAAATTGTTGGAACCGGAACCGGCCTGGTCAACGAGCTGGGCCCGGATTTGACCGGGCCAGTTCCGGGCCAAAACCGGCCCGTGGCCATGTCTAGTACCAACCATTGTTTTTCGCGTAAGAAAAGCAAACAAATTCGAGTCTAAATGGCGTAACCACTCCACGGAGCTTTTTCTCCTAGTGGGCTCCACTTCTTGTAGACTTGACTTTTGACGAACTCACAACATGCAAGTCGTTTTCAATGGAAATAAAATGTTGAGTAAATTACAGTATTAGTCCTTGGTGTTCCCAAGATTTCATTTTTGGTCACCTGCTATATTTTGTTTTTCGACAGGCCCAGACAACTCGATATTACAATTTTATTTTACTTCCTTAACTCTAATACATATTTTCAGATGCTGTTTTCAAACTTAAGTGATATTTTGAGATAGATTTATGATTAGATTTATTTTACTTAAACAATAAATTTTCCCGTTTTATTAGCTAATTTCTTGTGACATTCCGAATTTCGACCCATTTTTGGGATTTATAAAACGTGTAATTCGTCAGTGTGCTTATAGTAAAATCTCGCCCGGGAACTGATCACTCTCGGATATTGTTTTTAAAATTGAGATTTCGCTAGAATCGCACTCGATCGAATTTGGCCGTTATTTAGAGTCCAAACTTTGGTGTCGAATTTCTCGGAGTTTCGTGACGAATTTAATTGGATGGTGTCGATATTATTGTGGCCAGCGTCGATATTGCCCGGAATTATCGAAAAGTGAAATTTGAATCGGATGCGGATTTTGACCAGTATACCCCCCTCTAGATTTATATTATTTAGTATCTTTTTAGCCTTTTCTTTAATTTGAAATCTGGAATTTTCGTGGCCCTAGGATCTTGACTTGCTCACCAAGATCAAATATGAGCCCTTGGATGAGAGTGAGTGGGGTTGTTGACCTTTTTGAATTGATCTCTCTCTCTCTCTCTCTCTCACGATCATCCCCTTCCCCCAGTTCTGCCGAGACCCCCCTCCCTCTCCTTCTACCATGGCCGCGCGAGGAGCCCAGCCGCGCCGGAGCAGCCCGCCGCCACTCATCTCAGCCACACACCACCACTGAGCTCACTCTCTCCCTTCCCTTCCATTTGTCCATCCCGTCACCACCACCACTCAGCATCACCAGCACCTTCGTCCATCTCCACCAGCCAACCACCTCAGCAGTCCAGCGACCGCTCGCCGCCGTCCAGGTCGCTGGAAATCGCCGAGCCACCCGTCCGACCGCCGGAGCAACTGCTGCTTGCTTGGCTTGGCTTGGCTTGGCTTTGTTAGGCTCCCTAGCTTGAAAATCTTGCTTAGGCCTTGGGTAAGTGCTCCCTAAGCCTTAGTTAGGATAATGGGTTACTAATGGACATGTTTAGGGGTGGATTAGGGCTGTGGATAGTTGGTTTTAGTGGCTGATTGTGCTTGGTTTGCTTGGTGGTGCTTGTTGGTTGATTTCCGGTAAGGTTGCTGCTGCGTCGCTGGATTTTACTATGTTTACTGTGACTTGTGTGGGCCGAATTTGAGGAAGTTTTCTTCATGAAAGTTGTTCATAACATCTTGAAGTATGACATAATTTAATTTGAGAAATTTTGGAAATCATTGGAGGCCATTTGGAAGTCCATCTTTGGACCGAAATTAGTCTGCCGGAAATACTGTTCCTCCGACCTTCGGGTCTGTTCGAATTGTTATAAATTTTTCCAGACCCATTTTCAAAATACTTCCTTCACAAAACTTGTTGGGGACATTTGTGCCTATGAAAAATAAAAATTTCAAGGCTTTCCAAAGTGATTTGGGTACTGGATGAGATGCATTTTGATGGTCAGGTGGCCTGACCGGACGGGTTGAATTTCATCTGACTTCAAGTGACAAAAATAGGTGTTTACAGTTAGAACTGGGTTTCGAGTTCTTCACGGAAAATTTTTATCAAGATGTTTTATACGACATATCCAAAATTCATAATTTTTGGAGTTTAATTACTATTTATTTTAAAAGGGATTCCAGAACTGTGCGCTGGCCCAGAATTGCTCCGAATCTGTGTATTCGGTTTTCCCTTGTTCCTTGTGGCTGAATGTGGCTGTTTATGGCTGAGTGTGGTGGCTGATTTGTGGTGCAAACGTGGGCTAAATTGTGGTGGTTCAAGGGCCGTTTTGTGTGATGATTTGTGGGACCGATTGGTGCTCGAAGTGGGGCTTAAATGTGTGATAGTTCGTGTGTGAATTAATGTTCGATTAGTGGCAATTTGCATTGGTT